GAGCTCCCCAACTCAAAAAGAAACGAAAAAGGAAGGGGGCAAAAAACGAAGAGAGCATCCTCTTCTCTCTCTTTCCCCCTCTCCTCACTATAACTAATTAACCCTCCCAAAATTATTATTATTATATTAATGGTCTCAAAGCCCCCCACCCTTCCCAAGATCTTCTCTCCTCTTATTAGCCCCAATAACGGTAAATAAGAAAAATTTCCCCTCACCAAAAAAAAAAAAAGAAAAAAAGAAAAAAACCCCGAAAGCATCAGATATTTTCTCTATTTCTGTTGTTCTGTTTGAATTGGGCCTGACCATTATTAGGTTCCGCTAGGATTGGGCTCGCTGGTGCTCGCAAGAAGCAGCAAAAGATGAAGTGGGAGGGGGTCGATGAGAAGCTCGCCAAGATGGTCACCGAGGCCAATTTGGATCAGGCTTCGGAGAGGCGAAGGGTTCGAGAGGCTTTCAAGGATGTGCAGCTTGGGATAGATCACTGTTTGTTTAAGGTAATTTTGAATCTTTTGTGGGTTCGATGGCGGGTTTTGTTTAGTTTTATAATCTGTTGAAATTGGTGTAGAAATTGAGAAAGCTTGGGCGAAGTTATGATACATGTTATGATGCAATGCTTGTTGTTACTAACGGATATGGAGACATTAATGCATACACCATACCGAAAATATATGGAAACTAGATTGAATGCTCTGCTGTCTAAAACATCCGCAACCAAGAAAAAAGATGCTAATATAAAATCTAATATTATAAAATTATTGTACTTGATGGGAATGTACTCAAAGTACGCTTTATCAGCTCCATGTAGAATGATAGGTAGCAAAAGTGAGAATTTTTACCAATTATCTACTTCCATTAATGAAATCAAAAGATGTATACTTGCTAGTCAAATTATTTTTGACATTTTTACTAGATTCTAGCATGTTTCTTGTATAATATAAACAAATACAGATCAAAATCAAATTAATAAAAACAAACACTTGATATGCAATAAGTGATTTGTTGGGAGCGGCGTTGGAGGACAGGGGCTAGTGCGGATGGTGTTTGTGGGGAGCAACAATAACTAGGGTTTTGGGTTTTCAGTATTAACTTTAGTATAAGGGAGGGTCGAGGGAGGGAGGGGAATTTTGTGTTTGTAGTGTTTTAGTTTTGGGCTTTTTGATGGGTCCATTTGAGTTGAATGTTGAAAAGTTCAATGGACTTTTATTTTCCAATGGGTTAATTTGGTTTTTCTACTAACTTATTTAGTGTTGTTAAATGGGTTGCATTAGGGTGCAATTTTTAAATATCTTGGGGGCACGAATTGTAAATATTACCATTGCTATATGGAAATTATAAAATTTTGGAAGTGCAATTGCTCCCCTACACATGTATGCCAATTTTTCCTTGTTTATGTCAATCTGCCCTTGTTTACAACACCATATAGTTCCAACGATGTCCAAAATTTGAAATTTTTGTTTACTTGAATGTTGTTGCAACATGCAACACCAACGGTTGTTGCAAACTAAAATAGGGCAAAAATAGGGGCGTTGCTATAGCATTCAAGTTAAAGCGTGTTCCAGGAGTTGGAACAACATGATGCTACAAATCCTCTATTGTTCCAAATGCTCCTAACCAAGGTTAGTAAATATAACCTTAAATGCAGGAATCACTCCACTATTTTTAACATATTTTGCTTCGTAACCAGATTTTGATGCAACAACATCCAAACAAATGTATATGTTGAAATTTGAATGTAGATGGAACAATATAAGGCTCCAACTATTCCCTATCCAAACAAACATGAAGTGGTAATATTTTAGTTCTATTTTGAGGGAAAAATATTATAGAGGGGCCTCTACAGAAAATCATATAGGTAGATAGGAGATGATGACACATGTACACTAGTACGAATTTTAAAGCTAATGATTAGTAGTCACAGGCTTTAACTTTTTGTTTTAATCACAAGCTTTAAGTTCTTGTTTTAGATACATGACATTGCTAGCTTTTATAAGCGGGACAATCTCCTACTTCCCTATGTGATTTTCCACAAAGGGCCCTCTATAGGATCCACCTGTCCCTCGGGGTTTTGATAGGTACCTATATAATTTTAGCAAAGCTATTGGAAAACAAACGAGGAAAAACTAATGGCAAAAATGTTGGTTGGTTAGAATCAATTAGATGTGGGATGTTAATGAGGATGTTGTGCATAGAACTAAACTAGAGATTAATGCGAGTTTCTAGTTGAAGTGGTGAAGTGTTTATCAGTCCCATGCGACTTTGTAACACACCACGAAGTTGGAGTAAGGATTTTATGTGTTGGCTTTGAGTCAAGTCATGCTTTGCGAGTAACATTGTTATGGAAATTTCAAAGAACATCAATGTTTAAAGATGGAAGTATAAAACAAAGTGCTTGACCCTTCTAATGTGAGTCATGAGCTTTAAGGCTTGAGGCGTAAGACTCATAACTTCATTATATTTTAATTATAAGTATATATAATATTATAAGTATATATTGTATAGCATATAGGGGTACAATAATTTACAAATAGGTACATTCAGTTCTTGGAGAGTAAATACGAATGGAATGGGATAAGCACAGACACAAACTATGATAAATTAAGGCTACTTTAAAGACATCTATCTATAGCCACCAGGCCATATTGAAGACGCATGATCAAAAGTCACCATTTCTTATCAAAAAAACCTAAAACCTATTAGAGTTGACTCAATAGTCCCATAAGAAACAAACAAAAACATAAGTACATAACACAACTAAAAAATGAGAGAAGAGATCAACTTTAAGAGACGAATATAACATGTAAGAAATGAACAAGAACATAACACAACTCAAAAATGAAGAAGAGATCAACTTTGAAAGATGAATGTAAGCCACATTTCATGTAAATGACAAAAGTAGACCATAGAAGGGTTTAAAATCGAACATTTACCTCTGAAGTTTGTAGGGTTGATATCCATCTGGCTCAGTGAAATTAGGGAGATAGTGGGCTTTCAGCAAATGATTTCAGATAACTTTGGGAGGAGAAAACGATGGGGGTGTAGTTTGATTAGAGGAGAGAACAATACATTGTGATCTTCTTTTTTTGGGTGGGGATGAGGGGAATACTATAGATTATAGGATTGCATGAGATTGGGAGAGTGAACAAGTGTAATTGGTGTGTTTTTGGGAGCTTTGAGAGTGTGATTTGATTAGAACTGTCACGCCCCGAGCCCGCAAGCCTGTTGGTGCGCTATAAGTCGTGGGACCTGCAACAACAACTCATTGTTTGGTTCAATCCACTGCCAAAAAATGCTAGCACTAGTTGCTCTTGAACTCTTTGACTTCACTATTTAAATCATTCAAACTTCTTTAGTTTTCCTGATGTGGGACTATTCAATGTATCATAGTTACCTCAACTTTAATAGGTGACACCCTCATTGTGGCATGATAATTAGCATATCTCAGTATCACCGCCTGGTGACGTGAACTCTAGAGGTGGCTCCTATAGGCTCTAATGGTGGCTCCCATCGCACTTATACAGGTAGCACTTCGTCCAGCATATCACTTAGCTTCACATTTTCAACTGGCTAACTACTCCAATACCATTTGTCACGCCCCAGGCCCGTGAGCCCATTGACGTGCTACTAAGAACAACTCATTGTTTGGCTCAATCTGCTGCCAAAAGGTGCGAGCACTAGTCCTTTTGACTTCACTATTTGAACCACTCAAAGTCCTTTAGTTTTCCTGATGTGAGACTATTTGGGGTATCACAAGAGCAACTTAGGTTACACTCATGGGTTTTAAGGGAAAATGGTAGTTTCAAAATTATTTATTTATTTTTGAATAAATACAATAGTGGTGTCAACAAAAACATTGTTTTTGGAAGATTGATTTTAAGAAATGGGGGGTATGTTTGGTGCATGGGTGATCCTGGAAGTGGGTGAGTTTAAATGTGAATGAGGATATAACTTTGGGTTTATAGGCAAAAGAAACTCTATATTGTAAATTATAGTGATAGTTCTATATTTATTATGAGAGTTATGATAGATATATTCAGAATATAGTGTGATATCACTTTCATCACAATATATAGATGAGTCTACTAGTTCTTAGCAATCCAAGTGGGAAAATTAATGTGAAATAGTAATAGATTAAATAAAAGGCAATATTAATATCAGTATCTCTCAATGTCTAGCAAGACTAGCATTGAGTATTTTGCAATTTGAACCGCTGATGACTTGATTGCATAAGTTCTAGAAAGCATTTGAACAATGTAGAGTGTAAGTGATGGTCAAGCATTGTCTGTCCTAATTTACTTATTAGACCTCTTACTAGCTCGCTCACCTGCTCCTGCGACCAACAAAATGCCTTTATATTGTTAATTTTGATTTCCTTGAACTGGATTTAGGTAAATATCAAAGAAAATAAACTGACAGGCTTCACTTGTCACCTCCTGACCTTGTGTTTCTGTGTAATAGGCCATGTTTATCTGTGTTCCAGTTCTGCTCCTCCTGGCATCAATGTTCCAGATAAAAACTTCTGGTTTATATTTTTCAAAGAAAAGCATACCATTAACTGGTTTCCTTCATAACAGCAAAATCTTTATGATACCATTTTCATTCACGTATTTATTTTATTTCCTGAAATTCTATGTATATGATCATGAAACTTGTACTCAACCACATGCTTTCTGTTTGTGGCTACGGACAAGCTAGTTAAAGTTGTTATTTTAGTGATTCAGCATATCCTATTGTATTTGAAAAACCCACGTTAATATATCACATACTCAGCGAATTGATATATGTACTGTGGTGCTTACCATATTAAACCACTGCATATATTGTCATGTGATATAGTCAGAAAAGGAAACTAATTTATTTTACCATGGAAATGACCATATAACAGAGCTGTAACATTGCCATGTTCACGGATTTAATGCTTGTTATAGAAGAGATCGAAGTAATGTTTGTTACTTCAAAAATTATTATCAACATGTGGAATTCCATATATATCCCATGGTATCATTTTGAATGGCAGTACTTAAGATAGTACTAGAATTATCATTTCTCTCTGTTCATGTGTTGTTAGTTAATTTATTTAACAAAGTATATCATAGGGTATCATTAATTCTTTTTACCATTTATTCCATGTTCATTGGATGAATTAAGTTTGTCTAAAGACTCTAAAACTCTTACTTCCGTCATGGCAGGCACATTACGATGGAGTTAAAACGAAAGAGGTCACTCTTCTGAATCCTCTTTTTTTTTTCTTGTAATTTTCTGCACTTGCACATCGTAATCATTAAAATTGTAGTTGCATATACAACAAAGTTTGTTCTTTCTTTTTGTTCATGTACTTAGCAGGTATCAGTCATCTACTGCTTCCAAATGCTCCATAGAAAATGCTAGTGAACAAAATGACATAACAAGATAAATTGTTGCACTATATGAGTAATCCTGTCTGCTACAATTTATGGACATGTTTAAATGGGAACAACAATCCCGATTGGCATATTAAATGTTAAAAACATCTCCAAATTCTTTGTATTAGAAAAGAATGATGCTTTATGCTCTTGTTTCAAAACATTTTCACTGATATAGGAACTTATGTATAGTCATATGAGGTGTATACAAGAGGTGTTGCACAATTAGCTTCTTCATATTCCAAGATAATCTTGTATGCTACAATTCATGGACATGTTTAAATGGGAACTACAATTCTGATTGACATATTAAATGTTGAAAACGTCTCCAAATTCTTTTATCAGAAAATAATGATGCTTTATGCTCTTGTTTTAAAACACTTTTCACTGATATGCTACTTACATATAGTCATATGAGGTGAATACAAGAGGTGTGCAAATCTTCTCAAAATGTTGGCTCCCAGAGAATGTCCCAATCAAGGCATTGATTTGTTTCTGTCATGGCTATGGAGACACTTGCACTTTTTTCTTTGAAGGTATTGGTGCTTACTAATGGTCAAATATTATGTGATATTTTAGATATATTAGCATGTTCTACATGCAAGTGGTAAACGACACACATTCTTCTTGCAGGAATTGCGAGGAAGTTTGCTTCATGTGGATATGGAGTTTTTGCACTGGACTATCCTGGATTTGGTCTTTCAGAAGGTCTTCATGGTTATGTACCAAGCTTTGATACTCTTGTTAACGATGTTGCTGAGCATTTCTCCAAAATTAAAGGTGTGATATTGTCTCTTTCTTTATTATGGCCTTTAGGCGCATGCAGAAACAATCCAATTATTTTATTGACTGTGGACATGCTTTTCTCCTTGATGCTTTCAGTATGGAAGTTCGTATATCTGTTATCACAGCAGAAAAATCACCATAAGTAAATCTCTAGTAATTTTGAACACACATGAAGAAACTACAACACATAGGAGTACAGTAAATAAAATTAATAAATTATTCTCTTTTTTGGCAATATGGGAGACACAACACAAAACTAGTTTCACATCAATGGAAATACCATTTGAACTAGTATCAGACATACAAAGTAATGACAAAAATACATTAAGGGGAAAAAAGAAAGCGACATCAATTTAAGATTTACGCTTATAACATCCAAGAGATATCAAATACTCTCATTTGGATATGCAATAAAGTAAAATTTGGTATGTAATAATCTGTATAAACTCAAAAATCTTTTGAGAAAGGAATTATCGAAAAACTCCATAATTGATTGCACTTGGGTGGGAGCAATTTCAGGATGGATATGTGACATCCTGGCATGTGCTTGACTCAGTGTGTGGTGTGTCAAATGGTATGAGAGCCTAACAGTCTACCACCAACTAGAAAGTGTGTTGAACTAAGTATCACATGAAACTGAGTGCAATTGGCAAACTTTCAAGCCATTCAAGGATATGGAGGCCCCCCTCTTTAATTTGTAGAGTCACCTAAGGTCCATGAGAGTCGCACCTAGAATTCCATATTGCTTGGTGAAGTGTTAATATGACAAGGGTGTCATATCCTAAACAGAGAACGTTTTAACATGCGTCTATCCAATGGTGGATCTAGAAAATTTTTGTTGGGGGGCGGACAACAAGTATCTATTTACCTAAAAATAAAAATATAATATTATACAATTATAGTACCTAATGGGAATTCACTTGGTACACTTTATCATTTTTTTTTGGTGGGGGGGAGGGGGAGGGGGAGAGATTGTAAATACTAAAATTTATAGATTTCGGATGGTGCAACTGCACCCGTAGCCATGCATTTGGATCCACCTTTGTTCTATGCATATGCATGAAGATATTTGGGAAACTAGTTCTTTTGTAAGACTCCATAGTCAGCCATCTTTTCAACATTCAATATTGTTAGCGTGCTTAAACATTCAAACTAGTTTAAGAAAGGAAGATCAAGAAGTTTAAGAATGTTTTATTCACCACCAAGCTCTAACCATATTATGCTAAAATGAAGTATTATTGGGAAATAACTTCGAAATTTTATTGTTCATGGACTATTGAGTAACTTCGATATATTGATCAAGATCAAAGATGCAAATATCCTTGCAAAAGTTTTCACCATGAAGTTCTTATTTGGAAAAATTCCTATGTATGTATAAAACAATGTTATATATGTTACAGTGTAAGATAAGAGTTTATGCTTACCTATGAAAATAGATGTGGGCATCCATAAATGATAATTTGATTCATTCAATATGATCTACACATTTGAAAGCCGCACAGTTCAAGAATTTTAAGCCTATAAATTTTTAAAAAAAAATCAATTGTAATTTACTTTCAATACTACTATAAGCAGTTCATTTTTTGACCATGAGATGTATAAGCTAGAAATTCTCAAGCCATGGAATTTTCAATTCAAGCACTTTTGGTACCCCAGGAAAACAAATGTTGGGCTTTTTTCTTCTTGGCATATGTTATTTTGGCCCCGATTCAATTGGGGGAAAACAGCTACCAATGTGTAGGTTACGAAGCACAGTTTAGATCATCATATATGGAAGGATACTATGCTTTTCATAAGTTGTTGTGATGTGAGTCTTATGTTGCATCCTATTATGTAAATAATCTTTACGCTTAAGCATACACACACCTCTAAGTATGTATTTATGTATGTTGGAATATCCAATTTCCCATGTCCTCTTGATTACAAGCCATCTTTTTGGACACACAAGATATTGAGACACTTTGAAGCCCATGTCCTATATCCAGGTAACACTAGTTCCTGCCTTCAAAAAAAAAAAAAAAGGATCTCTCTGTATCTCTCATATTTAAGCATCCTTTAACTTCTTGTTATTCATTTCTAGCACTTAGTATATATAAAGATGGTGCTAGCATTGGATTACTTTTCTTTTCGTTCGTGTTTCCTTCAAGTGTGATGACGCAATGTTTGTCATGACTTGCTCCAATTTATTTATGTTCTGGTGGTTCCTCTTCAGAAATTTACTGAAAATTGGGCTTTTCTTTATCTTTTCCATGTTAGATAACAAAAAGGTATACTCAACATATGTAACTTTTCTCCTCTTCATACACTTAAACTGTTTCTTTCACATTTTGAACAATAGAGAATCCTGAATACCAAGGTCTTCCAAGTTTTCTATTTGGGCAATCCATGGGTGGAGCAGTTGCTTTGAAAGTGCACTTTGAGCAACCCAATGCATGGCATGGTGCAGTTCTAGTTGCTCCAATGTGTAAGGTAATTGTGCTTCAATTTTCGTGTACAAGTTACGTCAACCCAAATTTTCACTTCCCGATGACAATTCTTTCCGTTAGATGTCAGACGATGTGGTTCCTCCTTGGCCTCTTCAGCAAATCCTGATTTGTGTTGCTAAAATTCTTCCCAGAGGGAAATTGGTTCCTCAAAAAGATTTAGCTGATATGGCATTCAAAGAAAAGAAAAAGAGAGATCAGGTCAACATCTGTGTTGCTTATCAAAATTTTTAGCATTTCCTTAAACTCTTATATTCTAGAAAACATATACTCTTGTTGGAAACTTTTATTGTCTTCAGCTTTTGGTATTTGGCAAATTTTCTATTGTGTACTGATATAGAACTCTTCAGTAATGTCTGTGGGTGGCTATTTTTATTTATATATGTAATATAATATCAGTATATATAACAAGTCTATTGTCTTTTGGATGCAGTGCTCTTATAATGTCATTGCTTATAAGGATAAGCCACGTTTGAGAACAGCATTAGAATTGCTCAGAACTACACAAGAGATAGAACGCCGACTGAAAGAGGTATGGGAGGTTATTATTTTGTCAAAAAAAAAGTGTCCACAGTAAGCTAATTGTTAGTAACTTGTATCCAATAAATCCTAGAATATAAAAGTTTCAAAGTATTAAGCCTTTATGCCCTTGACACCAGCATGAAATTTTGTTTGAACAGATATGTCCTTACTAATTTATACCCATAACTATATGTGGTTCTGATGCCATCAGTGGATCCATATGCAATAATAGTTTATTGACCATAACCTGTAAATGTTTGTTGTTTGTTCAACTAGTGAATATGTCCCAAGCAATAAATAGTATGTGCTGACAATCATGAGTTGGATTTTGCACAGTTCACCTGATTCACTGATTCATTGGTCTATATCATGAGTACGTGTATTGTTGATATTCATCAGTGGCCTGTATCATGGCCAGAGTAACCTCACAAATTTCCACCTTTATAATGTAGTTGTATATGTTTCTCATCACCTTTATATCTTGCTCCTGGAGTATGTCACTAGCTTTTTTAACTAGTGAATGACAACCCACACCTCAATGCGATCTTGGTGCTTACACACTGTGTCCTGACTCCATTTTAACCCTTGATTTCTAGACGCCAACACATCTAATACTTACGACGCATATTTCCACAATTCAAACATGCAGACATTGCTATGACTAATATAAGTATTTGTATTGTTGATGTTCATATATGAAGCAACGTAGCTTAAAACTAGTAAAATTATTTTTACAATAATTAGCTTTCATCAAAAGGTCTTACATAGTCGCATATAATTTTCTAGATAAATAGGATTTATAAGTTTATAAATGTCAAAAATGGTAGACTTGTGTGTATAAGTGTGTCGGCCATGAAGGGAAACACAACATCCCATGCTAATTAGATTTAGGTTCTGCTTATTCTCAGAGAAAAACTTTCACAAAACAACCATGAACTATTAGGTGTTTTACACAAAAGTACCATAAATTATTTGTGTCAGAGGAAAATACCATAAATTTTTTCACTAAATTATTATGACTGCTAAAATTTAATTTAAGTTCGCAGGTGATATAACATGACATCCTTTCCCGTTTTTTACCCTTTATTTTATGTAATTACTATGCTGTCCTCTGTCCTCCTTAGCTATTAGTGGTGTTTTATAGGATTTTAAAAATCCTGTTAACATTGTTAGAGCAATTTTCTGATAATATGTGATGTTTTCTACAGATTTGAGAGTTTATGATATTTTCTCAAATAAAAACAGTTCATGATAGTTTGGTGAAACTTACCCCGTAATTTTTTTTTTCATTTTCCTGATTGCGAGATAAATTACAGGATTTTGTTTTTCTCAACCAGGGAGGGAAAATTTTACAGCATTTGTTCCTCTTTCTTGTACAGGTTTCGCTGCCTTTACTAATTCTACATGGTGAAGCCGATATTGTAACTGACCCTTCAGTGAGCAAAGCATTGTACGAGAAAGCAAATAGCTCTGATAAAAAGCTATGTCTCTATGACAATGCTTGGCATTCTCTGCTCGAAGGTGAGTCCGATGAGATGATATTTCGAGTTCTTGATGACATTATCTCTTGGTTGGATATGCATTCAATTAGAGGAGCTTCATGAAACAAATTTAATGGACAGTACCATTGTACTCACAACTGCTTTGTCTATCAAAGCGATGAAAGCAATTGTTTTAGCATTTGGGTGAGAGTGATTACCCTTTAGGTAATAACTGCAGCATTCATCTGCAGAATTTGTACATTTCCTTTAAATTGTATATTCAATTTCTGTTATTTATGTCAGCAAATTTTTGTCCATGTTCTATTGTCCTAATTCACTTTTGCAAGTAAATTAGTGATATCTTCTGTCATTTTATTCATTCGATTGTTTTACAACTTTTGTTAGTTTGTACACAATGATGCTTTCATCACACGTGCGCGCATGCGCACATGCACACACAAAAGTTGATTTGATGCTTGCTTTTGATCAATTAGAGAAAGGACAGACTTATTCTTATGTTCATCCATTACTTAGTTTAAAGGGTTTTAAGCTGTATACCCTTATGTTTTTTTTAGAAATAACTTCTTTTTAGTTATATTTCCTAGTTTTTTTTAGCTATGAATACGGTGATATATTTTTGTGAAACATGCTCTCTAAGCTGTAGTGTAACAAGGAAATGCATGCTAAATTTTGATGATTTGTTAGTATATCATAAGAACTAACTTCAATCTTGCATATAATTATTACCATATAAGCTTACCTAAATTTCATTGGTTGTCACATGAAAGAAGGATATAAACACAAAAGTAACACAAAATATAAGGTCATATATATAAGTGTGTAGCTACTTAGGAGCATAGTGATATATAAACACTATTCCTATGAAAGTGTGGTGCAGCACATGATTAGTTTTATCACACTCAATTTGTATTTTTATTCTTTGCATTATTGTTTGAAGTGCAACTTATGCTTATGATTATCAATGGAGATCCATAATTCCAAAATGACAGGAAATGGACTTTCATATGTACCAGATCTTCAATATGATAAACCTTAATTAAAGGATTTTGGTTTGAAGCAATTAAGAAGCATATAATAATTATTAACTTAAAGGAGTAAATCGTCAATTAACAGGACTGAGCGGAAGAATGTGATTTTGTAGCTGAGCCCAAAAGTTTGGGATAAGGCTTCGTCGTTATAAACTTTATCTGCAGCAATTTCTTCAGTAAGTATTACACAATGTCGATATATTAATTTCTAGAATTTTTAAGAAAGAAAAATCTAATGTGGGTGCATTAATTCAAGCCCTTTTCATTAAATTTATAGTTAGATATATGGATCTCAGGAACCTACTTTCTGATATCTGTGCCATAGAGATATTTCCTTAGAGTTCAGAGTTTACGGTCCTCTACATTAAAACAACTAATGTATTGTCAGTGCATTAAAAACCAAGTGTACTAACTTACCTCTTCATATTTTTATTTTGTCCCTTTTTCTTGTATCTTATCTTAGAATATGTCCTCTTAAATATGCTATAAGCTCCTTGGGTTATTATGTTTGCTCTTAGTAGCAACATCAAGTTTAAGCTGATTATGTAGACAGAAGATAGGAAATGGTAAGAATCAGACTGCAGCTTGTTTCCAAATCTTAAGCCACAGCTTTCAACTGGAATGTTGGTTGCAATTGTCCCTTTCTTTGGCCTTTACTGGCTTCAGGACATGGTACTTTTATGATTTAGCTTCATTATTTGCTTTGTTGTAAGTTCAGCCAGCTAGCTTCCCTGAAAATTTTTAGCCAATTATTGCACCTCAATGTGAAAATGAAACATCTTTGGTTTAGGTTCGAGTTACAACTTTTGCAGAAAACTACCTTCCCAGTGATTTATTTTAGAAAATTATAGCCTATGTTGAAGTTTTTGCTGAAATATTCTGAAGAGCATTCACAGGCTCTTATAGATGATGAACTGTATATTGTAAGTTTTCTTTAATGTTGATTGATGATTTGGTGAATTCATGGGGACAGTGATGCACATGCCAACTCTTTTGCTATCCACTCATATTGCCTAGTATCAAATAACAGTAATATTTTTTTTTTACCTGTCATACTTGGAAGAAGCTACTATGTAGTTTTACATCCATGATCAACCCCTTTGTTTTGCTTGGTCCTGGTTGGGGAACTCACAAGAGGGGAGGAGCCATGGTACCAAACAAACAAGTGCAGTTGAAAACAACAATTCCCTCCAACACAAAGTACCTTTGTGATGGCCCTCAACATGTGTAGTAGATGTGCAGGCTCCTCCCCTGGGCTATGCCTCTAGCTTTTGCATGCCCTTCTTAACTAAATGTCAGGGCACCACTTTGTAAGAGGTGCCCTTGTCTTTATTAACCTCAAAGGGATGTTGGCACCCTGAACTTACGTATGAGTGGCAGAGGACACCTACCCCCCCTACGAGATCCAACGGTGGAGATTAACTTAGAGAGGAGGCCTGGTGTGTGTGTGGGAGACTCATGTGGTAGGCTTTTTCACTTGGTAACTATTCATATGCAGAGCAGAGGATATTGAGTAGAGTAGATAGCCGCCTGAGGGGTTTTTTTTTTTTTTTTTAAAAAGGAGAGAAGACTGAGTAGAGTAGATAGAGAGTAGGGTTTTGTAGGGTGGGAGAGGAGCAATGCACCGTCCCTCTCAAGCTTCTCTCATCCCGACCTACAAAAAAGGTTGTTTTTTCATTTTCATGTATAGCTAGATTTTCCTTTTAGCACTTTAGGTTCCTAGGAATTTTGTATTTGGATGCAAATATAAAGCTTTTGTTGCCAAAGGATACGAGACTAGATATGAATTCTTAACAATCTATTCATCACTAACACAAAGGTTTGTCTTGCTAGGTATTATCCTAGCTTAAACAAAAAATTAGAAACCAAATTAATCCAAAAGGTAAACTTGTTAGGTATAATGCTAGGTTTCTATTTAAGTTCACTAGCACTTTCATATCTTTCCACCAACAGGAATTCTAAACAACTTCTCCCTTAGTTTGTGAGTGTACCTCAATCATCTATGATAAATCATATATCGTCTATTAACTTGGTCCGAATTGATAACCATGAAGCAACAACATATGGTTGCTAACATCTATGATTTGTTAACATACAGTTGTTAACATAGTTCAGACTAGATTTGTCATTATTTATAGGTTAATCTGATTTTACTCATTTCCCACAGAGGATTTCAGGTATCTTCCACCATTCATGGGTTAATTGGACTTTCAGTCAAAATCGACATTCATAATCATCGACACCTAAGGATCCTCCACCCTTTGCATGCTAGTCTGAACTAAGCAAGTCCAACTAAGTCAACATGCAAATGATTTCCCTACTATCTACATTGTTGTGCGCGGCACAGAAGCGGTCGAATCACACAATCCGAACAAGAGAGATCACAACCAAATAAACAAGCACAATCACCAAATAACACGAGATTTACGTGGTTCGGCAAGTTGCCTACGTCCACGGGGCAAGGAGGGGAGGAGTTCTTACTATTAGAAATCAGAGAATATAAGTAGAGTTACAAATCTCTCAGATCAAACCCTAAAACAAAGCTCTTGATCTCTCACAACTCTCCCACAATTGGATGCAACAATTCTCTCACAAAGACTGCTCAAATTTGTCCTTGCATAACCCTAAACAATCAGGTTTTGAGTTATATACAACTCAGAAACGAAACAGGTCAAAATCCGAAAGGCCCAGCCCAAACAGACTGCAGTCGACCGCGGCGGTCGACCGCGCAGGTTCGCGGTTTCATTTTCATGTATAGCTAGATTTTCCTTTTCAGACTTTAGGTTCCTAGGAATTTTGTATTTGGATGCAAATATAAAGCTTTTGTTGCGAAAGGAGAGGAGACTAGATATGAATTCTTAACAATCTATTCATCACTAACACAAAGGTTTGTCTTGCTAGGTATTATCCTAGCTTAAACAAAAAATTAGAAACCAAATTAATCCAAAAGGTAAACTTGTTAGGTAGAATGCTAGGTTTCTATTTAAGTTCACTAGCACTTTCATATCTTTCCACCAACAGGAATTCTAAACAACTTCTCCCTTCGTTTGTGAGTGTCGCCTCAATCATCTATGACAAATCATACACCGTTCTATTAACTTGGTCCGAATTGACAACCATGAAGCAACAACATATGGTTGTTAACATCTATGATTTGTTAACATATGGTTGTTAACATAGTTCAGACTAGATTTGTCATTATTTATAGGTTAATCTGATTTTACTCAATTCCCACAGTTCAAATAAAGATTAGGAATCAAATTATACTAAACTCTTGGTTAAACTGTCATCACTTTTGTCCAAAGCCTCTCTGGGGTTTAAGGACTAAAGCTCCCCACCCTTCATTAGAAAGTGGGTCAATCTGGGACCCTCTTATTAGTTAATTAAGCTCACAAACTTTACTTACAGGAACTGTAATCTAACCTACAAAATCTAACCTACAAGAAGTGAGAGCTAGCCCAAAAGTAGGGATATATACATTAATTCCTCAACGCTTTCTATACTTTTCGCGCGCGAACAGAACCACGCATCGAAGGTAAGCAGGAATAACTAGCTAGGATAACTAACTTATTTGTTAAAACTAGCTAATCATGAAATTTAAGAGTTGACTGTTAGAGGTCATAGAGTTAAATCGAGTGTTGACCTTGTCCTTCCGTGTCAAAAGTACGCGTGGTGGGGGGGCATCAGGCCTGCGAACAAACACGGAATCTCTCCGCACTCCCTAGCTAGGCCTGCGCTTCGATCTGCTACTAGCGATGCGCTAAAATTTGATCTCCCTGGTAGCTAGGGGAGCTACATCGGACGAGACTCCCCCCGCCTTGTTATCCGTAGCGCCCCCAGCAGCCCTCGGAACAATATTCTTGAGCCCTATCGATATCGGTATTATGCGTCTCTTTAGAACTGAGGCCTGGCTAGCTATATGTAAGATTTAACTATAAGAAGATAGCTAGCTAGGATCATATCCGGTACCCGTAGCATTTAATATCCTTTATCTTCTCAAAGATGACAACTCACAAGATTGAATGCTCAAATCCTTGTCCAAATCTAACATTCTCGATAATTTCGAAGTTTGGCGCTCGCCTCCCTGACATAACGACGGTTGCCTATCGTTGCCGTGAATGGTCAAAACATTTGACTCCGATTTTCGATTTGCTTCCCTTCCCCATCCTTGATGCGTACCAAAATTTCTAAGATGCGCGGTGGCCGTGATGGTTTGGGTTATTCATACTCTTCAACATGTTTCCTTTTAGGGAAAAATGTGTCCAGGC